CCCCCCCCCCCAAAAAAGAAACTAGTCCAAATGTTTTAAACATAAATTTACATCTAATTTAACACAAAATAAATCAGCAGTAGTCCAAATAACTACTGTGCCTGTTTTATAACAGGAGAGGCATGGATGATACTTGGCCAACATCTAGTTTGGCAGAATGCACGCACATGTACAAACAACTATACTGACATTATAGTACCCATGCTTTTTAGCATAAAATTATCTCAGTTACACTACTGAAAAATATACAAAGCCGCCTTTAAAGTTTTAAAGTTTTTGCTATTATATTTGACATACCTGCATTCTTATTCATATATTAAATTTAGCAAAAACATAAGGCCGTATAGCATGTAAGGCCGAGGCAACACGTGCGATTAAATAATATTGGCGCTTTTGACGTCACTGGAAAACTAAATCAAATTGCGGCTGCATAGGCTAGATCTACAGATTCCAAGATATCCCCCAATCTGAGTATTTTTACCTTCACTGTGTGGTATGAGTAGGTGTTTTGAGTCCCTCTGCTAAATAAAGATATGCATTGGAATTTTATTTTTAATAATATTTTTTGTTACTGTGCTCTTTATTGTAACTTTATTTCATTGTTTATTTGGCTTCTCCTGAATGTCTTGCGCAGATGGATGCGCAAAGGTGCCACTTACGTTGGAAGCGTGTTAGTTTAATTCTACCTGGGGCATTGCAGTGGCAAGCTTCTTTGTTTAATGAATATATTATCAAGACTGAATCATACAAATAGATACTGAGAAATGTTACACGAACATGCAGTCCTCGGAAGCATCTTTGTTTGTGAGAGGAGAGGTAGGAACTGCTAAGAAAATTAAAACGAAACTAAGTAGATTATCTCTCTTCCCTTCTCTCTCTCTCTCTCCCTCAACAACATAAAACATAAAAACTAATTAGAAAATTAATAATATGGGAATCAATGAATTAAAAAGACAATGGTTTATCCTTGCGTAGCAAGGGTTATTCGTTGTTTTGGGCAAGAGAGGCATTAGATGGTTGTTTATTTTAGCTTGTGTCTTAGTTGTATGATGAAAGTATCGTTCATCTTTCTTTTTTCCTTTATAGGACACTTCTGAGATTTGGGATGATACTGCTCTTATAAAAGCATATGATCACGCTGTGAGTTCGGTGAAGGTGTGTACAGTTTAGGTTACAATGTATGTTTTATCTAAGACATGCTGATAGGAGAATTGTCTTATTTGAAGTTGTTATCTTCTGTCCATTTAATTCACTGACTCCTGCAAAAACTGAAAATGCTGACCACTACGCTGTCACTTGTAAACTTGTTAGATGTTGAATCAGTCACCAAACAGTTCTGATTGTCATATGCCAGACAAACGCTTCCTTTACAATGATTTATTGTTGACTTTTTTGTTTGTTAATTTTTGTAGGCCCACCTGTCAAAGAAAAATGGTGACAGTATCCAGAGTTTAGATCATAGCACTGGAGATTTAGTCCAAAAAAAGAAGCACAAGAAGAACAAGAAGAAACACAAGCACAAAGGAAGAAAAGTATGCAGATGATATTCATTGTTATTGACTTTAATGTAGCTACTTTATGCAGAACAGTGTCATAGCAAACCTGTAGTAGTCTGCCATGGCTTTATATAGCATAAAATTGAATTTGAAAAAAAAATTAATAAGTGCCATTGTAAATGATATGCAGTCTTAAATTCAAGTCTTTTGGTTAAGACCAACTCATATTTGATCTTTACAAGTATTTTAAATGTATGTTATGTCTACTTCACTCAAATATTAGTGGAATTCCACACCCCTGGTGCCCTATTTATATATTAGTAAAGAAACTGTTACTAGTGCCTGAGACTGTTTCGTTGCCCAGTGCAGCATTTGGCTGGAAAATGACTTGATGTATAAAAGGCACAAGGTGGAAAAATATAAGACACCTGAATCATAAATTCTGAAGTAACCCAATTTTAACTGATCCTTAAATATTAGAGACAGAAGTATTGGTTTGCTAAAGATGTTTGCTATATAATGCCATTGATATATGGGCATGATTTTACTATCATATTTGGTACAATTTTAGACATTTTTCAAAGAATATTGTTGTAATTTGATAATTATACATTATTGATATTATTGATATTTTACAGCAGTGGAAAGTAGGGGACCAATGCAGAGCAGTTTTCACAGAAGATGATACTATTTATGATGCTGTGATTGTCTCCCTGAGTGAAGAAGTAGGTACTTGTGTTGTACGCTATCTGGATTATAACAATGAAGAGACACAAAAATTGGCAGACTTACTAGCTCCCAACAGGAGACATCAAAGACGAGAGTCAGGAAGTAATGCAGAAGTGAGTTTTATATTAGAATGGAATTACTAGTAATTGTGGCAGTTGACTTCACCAATTTTGAAGGGTGAGGGTTTACTTTTTATATTTGATGTGAACAAAATGGAATGGGCATTTGGAAAATTCAGCTCTTGTGTCATTTTTAAATGCATGTCCTATAAAATGTCACTGGTGCAAAATTGGTTTAACTTCTTTTTATCACCTCACTCATTAAACAGTGTTGCCAGTGTTAAGTTGTCACAGTGAATGTTGATACATAAGTAACATATTTTCCCTGTTTCAGAGTGATATGGACTGTACCCCAGGTCCACATAGAGGAAGTAGACCTCACAGACAATCCGAGTCACATGCTCCTCCTCCCACTTGGCCATGGCCACAGTCACCAAATGTCATTCCACCGTTTAGTGCAATGCCAGTAAGTTACAACTATAAATCATATCCATTATTCGACTAACTTGGAACAAAAAAATAATTAAGGTTCATTCTCACTTACATATTTTATTATATCTCAGTAGGCTATATGATTGCAATGTAGGAAGCAAGTATCACCCCTGTTGTTTTTCCCCACAGCTAGGCATGCAGTTCAAATAAAACTGGTCTTAAATGCCATAGTTGTGGAGTTTGAAGGCCAGGTATGGTTTTTTTCTGGAAATTGAAAATGGAAGGAAGTTCTCATGCCATGTTCAGTGGTGGGGATGATGGCATTGGGAGAGACAACGACAACAAGACATGATTTGATACAGTATGCTTTAAATAATATAACCAAATGAAGAGAGCATAAAACCACCATACTCTAAAGAACCTTTGGAGATTTAACATCCAATCTTCTCTTTTGGTGACACACTGCTGCATTTCTTTAGATTTTATGCTGCAATGATTGTATGTTGTTCATTCAATTTTAAGTGAAAATGTAGCTGCGAATGAAATCATTGTCATGTTAAAAGCTAATATACTCCTACCTTTTCAAGTAATTTGCTATTTTTTTCTGTAAATTAAATTGTAAAAACTGTATTCTTCTTTTTATTGCAGCCTGTGTTTCCGTCATTGCCAGTCTTTCCACCCTGGACGAGCCCAGCACAAACACCATTATCCTCACAAGTCTGTAAACTTAATTATTCTTTTCTATTTTATTATTATTTTTTTT